GACTATAACGTAAATAATGTATGTACACCAATTTGTAATTTATATTTACATTGAAAAAAGCTGACAAACATAAAAATGTTGATACTAAAAATATGGGCGGATGTAATTTCGGCCGGAAAAAGGGCAGGTACTAAAAGCCGGTAGGTAAATTCGGCCGGAGGTTTTAAGTTGCTTCCTTATCTCATAGGTATTTTCGGCCGCAAATCAAATAAACTGTTAAGCTGTGCTGTTGCTGTAATAAACAAAAAATTTTCACCTGTTGTGGTTTTCGGTCCATAACTATTGAGTACAGAATGTACATCGTGAATATCCTTAGGCAGGGCTGGTAAGAGCTTACGGCGGCTGTTGTACAAATTTCTTCTTATTAGACTGACATCTATCGATGACAAATTCTCTGGCAAATGATTTGAAAGAACGCTTTTAATAATTTTTGAAGGTTTCTCCGATACGTCTTCCTCAGCTTTGCGCTTGCATGAAGTCGTCACTATTTTTCTCTCCAACGTAGTTTCATCGGACAGTGGTTGTGGATTAATTCACTTCTAGTAACTGTGTGTTCCGCACCAACAGTGTACAGTTTGGCTAAACATCTTAAATTTTTACTTTATACACCTCCAACGTACTTCACCTTTTTTTAATACGTCCTGTTTACAAAACTGAAACTTTTCTACAACTACTAAGTCACAACCGCGTGAACTCTTAATTATTGAAACAGATGCCATCGTATACAAATAATATATTTAATGCTTTCTATCGACTAGTAGCTTCAAGATAAGTTTTAATACTGACTAGCTATAATAATTTTATACCTGTTATTGTGAATTTTACAGCGGCGTAATTTCCGACAGGTACACAGGATTAGGTATTTCCAATAAATACACAATTAATATTTTACAGAAACTATTAAGCGTAATTACCAATATTTTAATCTCATCGTAAACATCAAGCCCTCGGCCGAAATTACCCATGTCATAAATGGTACCCCTTGATTTATGCAGGTAGGCCAAGGGATTACTGGCCGAAATTACGCCCGCCGAAAAATATGACCGGAATATATTATAGACATTGTTAGACAATAAAGAACGTAATGTGGCAAATGAGGTAACAGAAGAAATTGACAAAATGGTGGTAAATCGATAAAAAAAATAGAGACAAGACCTGACACATCTAAAACAAGACGACTACTAGAAATAACAGAGATAAAAATACTCCAACGAAGATCGGGAAAAAGTCTATTGGATAGGGAGAGAAGCAAAAATATAAGTAGAGCATGCAATATAGAAGAGATAAATGGATGGGTGATAAAACGGAAACAGGAGTGGAACGAACACATTAGTAGAATGGTAGAAAATATAATAGTTCAAATAGCACGAGATTTAAATTTAACACACTAAATTTAAATAATGTAGGAGGCTAATATTGAAGAAGAAACAGACTTTAAAGCCTACATACAAGAAGGAAGAGAAGAAGAAGAATAAGAAGAAAACATCTAAATCTACATCTTTACAAAATGGAAGTCAGAATAGATGGACAACTTACAGAACCTATAGAAATAGGTAGCGGAATAAGGCAAGGGGATTCATTGAGCACAATGCTCTTCAATTTGATCATGGATGAAATCATCAAAAGCGTTAACAAAGGAAGAGGATACAGAATGGCAAATAAAGATATAAAAATATTCTGTTATGCAGACGACGCAATGTTGATAGCCCAAGACGAAGATAGTCTGCAAAGACTGGTCCACAGATTTAACATAAGAGCAAAATAATTTAATATGACAATCTCATCTCAGAAAACTAAAACAATAGTAGTCAGCAAAGAACTAATTAGATGTAAAATAAAAATTGATGGCATCAGTATTGAACAAGTAATGGAAATAAAATACCTGGGAGTTTACGCTGTCTAGCTATGGAGAACTGGACAAAGAAGTGAGAGATCAAGTGCAAAAAGCAAATAGACTGGTAGGATGTCTTAATAACACTATATGGCGAAACAGACACATTCACACTGAGATGAAGTCAAGAATTTATAAAACCGGTGTAAGACCAATAATGATATATGCCTTAGAAACAAGACCCAACACAGCCACAACACAAGAGCTACTGGAAACAGCAGAGATGAAAGTACTGAGAAGAATTAGAGGAAATACGCTGGGAGATCGAGAGAGAAGTATTAGAAGAAAATGTAGCGTACAATGTATAAATGAGGGGACACAAAATAGAAAAAAAAACAATGGAATAAACACATAAGCAGAATGGAGTAGATCCGTCATCTCCACGAAGTCACCAATCGGCAGAAGAAGTATCGAACGACCACGCAAAAGATAGAGTGACAACCTTCCATAGAGGTATTAATCCGCCAATGAACAAGCAGAATTACTTATAAAGAGGAAGAAGAAGAAGCAATAATTGCTTTATATCACTTAATATCGTTTCTTATCTTCTCGCTGCAAGCTACAAGTTCTTTGAGTAATTACCACCATAGCTTATCCCGGACAAAATGTTATCACGAATTATGTTTAATACGTTGTCCAATATGGTCAAATTTCTTTCTCTCTAAATTATAACATTAAACGATGCATAGTGTTTGAAGTACACAAAATAAACGAGGTCGCGTTGCTCAGAGTCGGAAAAGATGTGAATGTAGGTCTTACGATAGTCTTATTAACACGTAAACAAAAGAATTGGAGAGAACAAAAATTAGGAGATAATAGCTACTAGAATTAAACCACAAATATGGAATAAAGAATAAAAAGAAAATTCATAAATAATTTGCCATAAAAGATGCCACTTTGTCTTTTCTTTGAGTGACAAAGAAAACTCTTCGAAGAAGAGCGAACAGTAGCCGCTACCTATAGACCAGTGATTCCCAACCGGGTGGCGATTTGACATATTCAGAGGGGCGATAGAACGAAGAGGGCGATATGGGGGGCGACAGAGAAAGGGGGCGATAAGGAGGGCGTTTAGCATCCGGAAAAGGAGAAATGACTTATTGAGAAAAATAAGAAAAGAGAAAAAAATACAATACTTTCGATCGGATATCCATAGGATAATAAAAATTAAATATACGTACACCATTGCAGGTAATAATAACACAAACATCTCGTTTAGTCACAGAGAGGTATAAATCAAAATACAATTTAATTCTATACTGCATTTAATTCTGCATTTTTCTTTGATCGAGCTTTCGTATTGTGCGATCATCCGCACAAAAGAGAAAGAGAGAAGTGGGATAAGAATGATTAGAAGTAGGTACCGCTTCTGCCGATCTGACTCGAACAAAAAGCGAACGGCCGAGGTTGTCGTCACTTCAAATGCAGAGTCTTTCGTTCTCGAGTTTTGTATGCTCCCCCAACTATCTAAGAGATAGTTAATACTATACAGACCAACCAAGTAACAGATGCAGTTCCTCTCAGCAATAATACTGTCTCCAAAAGGATTGATGAAATGGAAGCGAATGTCGAACATGTTCTCTGCAACAAATTGAAAAGCAGAGAGTTTACTGTGCAACTTGACGAGAGTACCATGAGTGACAGCACAGCTTTGGCCGCTGTCATATGTCTGATTCATTGACGACAATGAAGAAATGGCCTAGGAAATGTTGTTTGCTAAAAGTCTGATTAGTGATACAAAGGATCTTCCATATTTGAGGTCGTTAAGAGATTTTTTTGAGGAAAAGAGATTCTCTAATCAAATATGATCGTCTGTGCTACTGACGGTGCAGCAGCAATGACAGGACACCATCGGGGATTTATTGCACATCTAAAACAAGCAGTATCTGGAATTTTGTGTGTTCACTGCGTCATTCACAGAGAGCATTTGACTGCCAAGAGTTTGAGTGAAAGGTTGCACGATTCTCTTTGACTTGTCGTAGATGCGGTAAATAAAATTAAATCAAAATCAAAGCATGATCGAATATTTCGTACACTCGTGAAGAAGATGATGAGATATTTAATACATTGCTACTACATACGAAAGTCTGCTGGCTTTTTAAAGGCAATTGCTTACGGCGGTTCTTCAGTCTCATGGATACTGTTATTGAATTTCTTAATACTACTGACCCCACACTGAGTACAAAACTACAAGAGAAGCGAAATGACGTCGCTTACTTATCAGATATTTTTCAAAAATTAAATGAAATGAACTTACAACTAAAGGAAAGAACATAAATATGGCCAAAGCGAAGGGAGTAGTCCTAGCATTCGTTGACAAACTATCTTTGAAGAAAATATGTAGAGAAGAGATCTGACCAAATTCTCCAACTTGAAATCTTCTTGTGGTGATTCTGAGAATTTTCAAACATACTGCCTCCACCTTCAAACACTGTGGATATGAAAGATTTTAGCCGGGGATAAAAGAAGTGTATCCAATCTTGTGGAATGCAATCAAATTATTATTATTAGCATTCCCCACAACATATCTAGTGGAGAAAGGTTTTAGTTCTGTATGTATATTGAAAAACATACAAAGAAATAGGCTGGACATAATAGAAAGAGGGGATTTGTGGTAACCAACAGTGAGCCAGACATAAAGAAATTATGTAAGGGACACTAGGCCCAAGGAAGCCATTAACAATTCTTTTACACACATATAACCATTTATTATTTTACAAAATGTAAAAATAAATAAATATGGATACTTACCTTTTGTATAGATTCATTATTTGTTTCAATTTAATTGGGTGGGGGGGCGATTGTAGTATTCATAACTGGTGAAACCTGTCTAAGGGGGCGATCATGGGAAAAAGGTTGGGAACCACTGCTATAGACTATGAGTCCCAGATATCAGTCACACCTTTCTATAGACCATGTCTAAAGTGCAATCCGCTCTGTCCGAACGTAACAATTTAAATTACCGGTATTTACAGTACGATCCGCGGCTCTATGGGGCTCATATATTCGCTTGGTGGCGAACGAGTTAATCTGCTAATTAAATTTTATAATTTATTTTATCTTTTTCTACAGGTCCCGATAGATATATTCCACAGCAACCAGATTACTACCCATGCCAATTAATTATAATGATATGGATATTCCTCCCTATAATGGAATATACTACGAACAATCAGGAATAAACCGGCTAGAACAAGAAATACAAGAATTAAAAGGTATGATAAAAGTTACGGGTTATTTTATTTTCCCATTTAACTTCTTCCGCTATTATTTATTGCAATTTCCTTTATTCCTATTGTAGAACAGATATTAACCAAAATAAACAGTATCGAAATCTAAAGCGCTGAATGAAGGATTGCTCACTAAAGTTGCATTTAACGTATTTGCCTTACTTGTTATTTATTTTCATCCTAGTATTATCTTACGATTAAAATCTTCGTTATTGCTGTTCATTAATAACAAAAAAAAAGTTTTTATAGTATCAATTTTATCGCATTGGTTGTTTTCGTCAGTGTAAATGATTTTTTTAAAACACACAGAACCAAAGATTTAGAAGTACCTGGAACAATTTTGAATAATTATATGAATTATATGACTGAAGTAATAATATGGAAAATAATAATAAAAAATTCTGGCATATAATACGGTGTTTTAAACAGACAAATGGAAAATGGATACAGAATTAAAAACGAAAAAAAAACTACATTAGAAAAAATGTGCAAGACATACTGAACATATGGTAAAAGACACTGCAACAAGAAATAAAACAAGAGGATGACAATGAAATTGACATAGATACCGAGGCAAGATTATTATCAGAGATACCGAAGAAGGAATAACAAAAATAAAGATAAGAAAATTTGGAAATGCACATGTTTTAGATCTGGATATGATAAACTGGTTAGGAAAAGTAAATAATTAGGGAAGGAAATTATATTTAAAATACATACTGGTAAAATAGAAAAAATCTGAGAGCTTCAAACGAACTGGAGTAAAAATTATCAAAACAACCAGCTTTTGGAAGAAAAGAAGAACAATAGAGAGGATCTACAATTTAAACTATTAGTGAGTGGAAAAAATTAAGTAGTAGAAGATTCCTGTTTCGCAATTATAGACAATAAAGCTGGATTTGGTTCTCTAGATAGAGAAATAATGTGGTTAATAATGAAAGATCTACTAATTCATCGAAAGAAAATAAAGATAGTTAAAGATTGAATATGAGTTTTAAACCATGTTTTGTTAATGGTACTGCCATGTGTTGTGGTCCTTAGCTTTGCAACTGATTTCATAACAAAATGCAATGGTTTCACAAAATATTATATTAACTTGTTAAAATTATGTAATGGCAAGTGAACTTAAGCTAGGTCAAGATTACTACGTCAACAATTCTACTTACTTGAATAAAACTAGTTGTCGACTTCATCTGCTTAGAATGATATGTGAATCCAGATCACAAGTTATTAATTAATTAAGCAACAAGTAAAGATAGAAATACTTAAAAAAACGTCACGACTTCGTGACGTCGTGACGAACAAAGCCAAAATATACCATTTTTTGGCTTAATTTGTTATTAATTAATTAAATCCAAAAAATCGACTGCAGGAAACCTATAGGTTCTTGTTATAGAGGTCCATATTACTCAAAAAACTATCGCTAGCCTGGAAGGGTCAGAGTCCTGAGCAAATTATATTTCCGTATATAAAATTTATGTTTTTTATTGTATTAATCAGTTTAAATTGGATTTAGATTTATTTAATTTATAAGTGTATTATAATCTTAACAATAAATATTTTTTAGCTATTATTAGTTCAGGAAATAAAGACAAGATACCAAAACCGGCCTTTTCTCCCGAAATACAATCTCATCCCAAAAGGTACAGACGATCGTTAGATGAACCAGGACCACCTAGGAAAGAGAGATCCCCTGAAGTATCAAGTGTTTCCTCTGATATGCAACTATTTGATGATGTAACCTCCAAGCTAAGGGAATACTTTCTAGAAGAAAACAGCAAAGGAAGAACTGCTGCGGACACAAGAGAAGCAGGATTTAACGAGATTACAGACAGACTAAACAAACTCAAATCTCAGTTAGGTGAGCCCATTGATTTGGATAATTTTAAACTACAATAATTTTTTTTTTTTTTAGAAGAAGCTATTCATCGAACAAATGAAAAAGTTGAGTATTATCCCTTAAAAACGTATCAAGAACCATCTTATCATTATCCAACCCTCCCTAAAATGATCTACAAACCAATATTTCCAGAAATTAAAAAAGACGATATTCTCTCTAATATTATAGTTAAAATTATAGAGAAAGGATTAGCAATTTTACCTCAAATTTTGGGTAAACTCTTTGGCATGGGTGCTTACACATTATTCGAAAGTGTGCATGATAAGTATGACGATTCCTACGGAACGTCGTATGATAGTAACTACAACAAGGGCTATGGCTATGATCACAAAAAAGGTTACGGCAGTTACGGCCAAGGTTATGGAGTTTCATATAATACAGACAACGATCTGATGGCAATATTTCATAAATTAGGAGTTTTCGGGTATATTCCTTTGATATGTTTAAATATTATTAAAGTAATAACAGTAGCTTGTAAACTTATAAGAAAAAACAAAATATTTACCAACTTTATAGTGCCTACTATTGTTTTGCTCTTAGTAGCAGGCTCTATTATATTCTTGACGTGGTGGTTACAGCCCGATAAGGATTTGTTTGAGGAAAAATTGATTGGATTTGATAATTCAAGAAGTCGCACGGTCAACCCAAATTCCCAATACAATTATAATTATTATGGAACACCTAGAAGTTCCTACACTGGTTACTATAATAATTATAATCAACATATTCCCTATCCTTCAGCATATTACAGGAATCCTTATAATTATTATAGCTATGGAGGCACTGATAGAAGAGCAATTAGTCAAAGTAGAAGTTTGCCAATGGTATATTTTAGAAGTTATTTTGAGGATGGTTCAAGGAAAGTTTAAAGAAGTTCGGTATATTATTTTATGATATATTTGTAAATATAGAATAACAAAATCAATCTGTGTTATTTATTTGTTATTATAATAGAATAAACGTGGATTCTACGTTTACATTAAATCGTGGTCCACATAAATGACTACAACTTAATACAACTCAACAACAAAGCTAAACTTGATGCTAGCATCAATATATTTTGTCCCTATGACAACAAGGGACGACGGTATATAAGACTTGATCATAAACAGTAATATTGTGAAAAAAATCAATAGGAAAATCTTCCCTTCCATTCCATTCCATTCTATAGGATCATTCTGGCTATGATAACTTTGTTGGTTGCTATACGGAATAATTGTGTTGAGGTCTTTTTATACCATGCTCTCAGGTTAGCAAGCCAAGATATTCTTCTTCGCCCTGGGCCCTTTATTCCTTCAATTTTACCTTGCAAAATACATTGCAGTAGCTAATATCTGCCTTAATTTCTCATTATATGTCCCAAGTACTGCAGCTTACGGCCCTCCATGATGTTGACCAAATCCGCGGTTGTTTTCATCCTCTGTGGTACTTTTTCATTGGCCTCTGCCTGGCCATGGTATCTTCAGGATCCTTCTGTATAACCATAGCTCAAAAGCCTAAAGTTTTGATAGAGTTTCCGCCTTCAATGTTCACGTTTCTACTCCGTATAGAAGCACCGAGTACACGTAACATATAAGGAGCCTTATTTTTGTTTCTAGGGTGAGGTCATGGGTCTTGAACACAGAGCTCATAGTCAAGAATGCAGTTTTTGCCTTTTCAATGCGACATTTAATATCTTGGATCTCCTCACACTCACTGATTATAGTTCCCAAGTAGTTGTACTGTGAGACACGTTCAATTCTCATTTGGTTCACATACAGATTCGCTTCGTTTTGCTGGTGTTTATATCTAGTCCATATGTTCTACTTGTTTCCGTTATGTTGTTTATTAATTTTTGCAGCCCTTCTATGGCATTGGAAAACACTATTGTATCATCTGTATACCGCAGGTTATTGAGCTTGACTTCATGCCTTCATCAATATCTTTTAGATCCTCTTCAAAAATGTGCTCCGAGTACAGATTGAATATCAGTGGTGAAATTATGCACCCCTGTCTTACTCATCTTAAGATTTAGTCCTGATCTGTATATTCTCCTTCTATTCTTAGCACCGCTGGTTGATTCCAATACAGGTTAGCTATTATTTTTAGGTATCTTCTGCCAATCCCTGTCCCTTTTCAGCACTTCCATCATTTGTTCATGTCTAACTCTATCCAAAAGCCTACTTGTAGTCAATCGGTGATGCAAAAACATTACAGCTGACATCTCTACTTTCTGAAACAATACCTGCACGCTAAATAAAGTTTTCCTTGTACCAACGGCGTTCACAAATCCAAACTGATTGGGCGGAATTTGTTCCTTACATTTCCGGTAAGTTCTTTTGTGGATGACTTTTAAAAACAGCTTCAGCAGATGGCTCATTAGGCTTATTGTCCTATAATCTTCACAAACTTTTTGCTCCTGGTTTTTTGGGCAATGGTACGAACTCCGATTTGAGCCACTCTACTGGTATTTTTCCTGCCTTGTATATTTCGTTAAATATTTCAGTTATAAAAAGCAAAAGTTTTGCACCCCAAATAATCATTTTTGATAGTTGAGTTTCTCGTGAACGGATTAACGGACTCAGCTATTTTTTTTTTTTTTGTTATTTTATATTTTTTTGGTATTTACACTGTTTGCCAAAGGTTTACTCAAACTTCTCTTTTGGGCTAATACCGGGTGGAAGAAAAGGAATGTTTCTCTTATTAAGTTTGAGACACTGAGGAAGGACCAGGTACAAGGGTAGGTATACATTAAAATCATCTAGTAGTCTCATGTTTTGTAAAACACTTTTTTTTTTTTAATTTTCCTTTTATATCTTTAAGAACAAAGAAAATAGACGGTTTTATTCTTTAACATGTGTTTGAACTGAACCAATACTAAATTGGCAATAAAAAATAACAACAGTTAACTTATTCTTCTTTGTCTTCTTCTACGTCTTACGCCTTCTAGTATGTAGGCTTTAAAGCCCGTTTCTTCGTTAATATTAGCCTCTTAAATTGTGTAAATTTTCGTACCATCTTTTTCTTGGTCTGCCAATCCTTCTTCAACCATTTGATGACTTATCCCGTGCTATTCGTACTATTCTATCCTCTGCCATTCTTCTGATATGTTCATTCCACTCCTGTTTTCGTTTTGTCACCCATCCATTTATGTCTTCTATATTGCATGCTCTTCTTATGTTTTCGCTTCTCTCCCTATCCAACAGACTTCTCCCTAATATTTGTCGGAGTATTTTCATCTCTGTTGTTTCTAGCAGTCGTCTCGTTTTAGATGTGTTCTTCTTCTTGTCTCCGCCGTGTATGTTAATATAGGTTTAATTGCTGCTTTATAGATTCTTGTTTTTGTATTTTGCCTTAGGTGTTTGTTTTTCCAGATTGTGTCATTGAGAGAACTCGCCTCTTTACTTGCTTTTAAGCTTTGTTGTCGTACTTCTTCTTCAACATCTCCGTAACTATTCATCATCATCTTTGGCTCGACAATCCTCTGTGGATCTTGGCCTGCTCTAAGATTCGTCGCCATTCTGTTCGGTTTCTGGCAACATGTTGCCATCTTCTGATTTTTAATATCCGTAAGTCGGTTTCAACTCCATCTAACCACCTAATTCGCGATCGGCCTTTGCTTCTTCTTCCTACACGTGTTCCTGTGGTTAGCTTTTTAGCAATCGTATTTTCTGGCATTCGTATTATGTGTACAGCTCATCTAAGTCGCTGTGTTTTAATGAACGTTATGACATCTGGCTCATCAAAGAGCTGATACAATTCAAAATTATATCTTCTGCGCCACTGCCCTTGATCGTTTATAGCTCCAAATATTTTGCGGAGTATTTTACGCTCAAATATTCCCAAAATTCTTTCATCTTTCTGCGTTAGAGTCCATGTGTCTGCTCCATATGTGAGGACCGGCCTCAGCAATGTTTTGTATATAATAATTTTAGTTCTTCTTTGAATGTTTTTTGAGTGGAAATGCTTTTGGAGTCCATAGTATGCCCTATTTGTAAGATTTATTAGTCTTTTTATTTCTTCGCTTCTTTTGTTGGTAGCAGTCAATAGCGACCCAAGGTATGTGAAGTTGTCAACACGTCCAAAGGTATGACTTCCAAAGACTGTTTCTCGTTCCTCATTTGCTATCGGATCCTTTGTAACCAACATGTATTTGCTTTTGTCTTCGTTGATGACTAGACCGACCTGTTTCGCGGCTGTTTCCAATTCTAGAAGATATTGCTCAACATCTCGCTTTTATGCTACGCCTTATTATGTCAATGTCATCAGCATATGCTAAGACTTGTATCGATCTATTGTAAATAGTACCGCCATCCCTAATTCGTGTATCTCGGACTGCCTTTTCTAAGGCAATATTAAATAGGAGGCAAGCCAGAGCATCTCCTTGTCTGAGTCCATCCTTTATCTCAAAGGATATAGAATTCTCTCCCTGTATTCTAACAGTGGCTTCTAAGTTAGACATTGTCATTCTCGTTAATCGGATAAGTTTCTCTGGTATACCAAACTCATGCATTGATTGGTATAGCACTGTTCTCTTGACACTGTCGTATGCTGCCTTGAAGTCGACGAATAGGTGATGGATTTCAATATTGAATTCTAATGTTTTCTCGAGAATCTGTCTTATTGAATGAATCTGGTCAATTGTTGATTTTTCTGAAGTGAATCCAGGTTGATATTTACCAACTATGCCCACTGTGTAAACCTGCAGCCTTTCGTAGAGAATATTTGCTAGTATTTTGTAAGCAGTTGTTAACAGGGTTATACCTCTATAGTTGTCACACTGGAGCTGGTCACCTTTTATATGTAACGGGCATATCACGCCTTGAGACCTTTCACAAGGCATGGTCTCATTATGCCAAACAAGAAGTAAAAGCTTATGCAGTGTCTGTAGTCACCATTCTTGTATAGCTCACTGCAAATTTGATCAATTCCTGGTGATTTATTATTTTTAAGCTTTTGAATGGCTTGGGCAACGTTTTCGATGGTAGGTGGTCTTTCGTTTGGGTTGAAATTTCGTTGGATATGATGGCTATTAAATTTTGTATCGAAAAGTTTAACCCATCTGTTTAGGATTGAGGCCGTATCATTTAGGATGTTTCCTTCTACATCCTTACAGCTCCTTATTCTTGGCTTAAACTCTTTGCGCATTTTGTTTAGATTTCTGTAGAACTTTCGAGTTTCATTTTGATTTCTTAGCCATTCTGTGCTTTCCAAACGCTTTTGCTCAAATGTCTTTTTTTCTTCTATGTAATCGTTTTTCTTCTCTTCTTAGGGACCGGTATTCTTCCTTTGCTCTTCTTGTGCATCCAGCTTGATTTATATAACAGATAACAAAAACAGGTCTGCCCTGTTTTTGTTATCTGTTGCTTCTTGGCACTCTTTGTCAGACCAATCGTTTTCTTTAACTGGTTTGGTTTTCCCCAATATTTTTGTTGCTTTCTCAGTTATTATGTTTTTACATTTTGTCCACAGTTTCTTTACATTTTCCCCCACCTCCAGGCTCTTCATTTCCTCGTCCATTTATCTCCTATACTCTCTCGCAACGGTTTTAATTTCGCAGATTATCAACATTAATTCTGTCTTGTTTTCGTGTGTTTATCTTTCTTTTGCCATTACAAGAAAATGGTCACTGTGAATGTTTGAGCCTCGGTAGCTTCTGACGTTTATGAGATTAGAAGAGTGCCTTGCATCTATCAGGATGTGATCTATCTGGTTAATGGTTTCGTTATCAGGGGATTTCCATGTTCCTTTGTGTATCATTTTATGGAGAAATCTTATTCCTCCTAGTATCATGTTTTTAGTACTTGCAAAGTTTATTAGTCTCAACCCGTTATCATTTGACTCTTCATGTAAGCTCTCACGTCCTATAGTTGGCTGGAAAAATTGCTCT